TCAAAGAGCGGACCTGTCTGTCTGCAAACCAAGTGATCAAGTGGGTAGATGTCTGGTGCGAGTAAGTGGGGTAAGATGCATGACTGCAGGAACTGGAGGAGACACTGAAGACCTGGGGCATCTGTGCTCCTCTCCAGGCAAAGGTGTCCACCCCCATGAAGCAGTGGAGGATGGCCCAGCTGCTGGGACCCCTGCTAGTCTTGTAAGAGATCCAGCTGGAATTCCTGGCTCCTGGTTTGTGTCCTGTGATCTGGGGAGTGAACCAGCTGATGTAAGATCCTGCTCTCTGGATCCCACTCCAGGCCTGACTCTGGTTTATCTGAAGAGTAGACCAGTGGATGACACCTTCTCTCTCACCTCCTCTAAGTTACTGTGTCATTTCGAGGAATCAGGCAATGTGGGTGTAAGCTGATGCTAAGATATCAGCAGTCATAGTAGTACTTTTCTCAGGCAAAAAGACCTATCAACACATAATCAGATCTCAAGATTTTCTTAGTTTCCATAGGAAAACTAAGAAAAACCATAGGAAAAACAGGAAGAAACATACACTACAGAAATAACTCTACCATTTCTAGTCACTTGGAGCCATTTTCCTCTTCTCTAACAAGGAATACGTAGAAATTATTTTTAAAAAAAAGAAATAATCTTTCAGGTAGTGAAACTTTGTTTTAATAGATGCTCTTCTGAGACACTACCATCATTCCTCGCATCTTAAAAGGGCTCTCTTTGCTATGAGTCTAATAAAAACGGGGACAGGAACAGAAAGGCTTCCTTCTGAGACGAGGATTGCCTTGGACTCCTGAAAGTATGAAAAAGTTTATCTAAGCATAACCAAGCATTTTTAAGATTTATTTACGTATATTGGAAAGGCAGATATACAGAGAGGAGAGACACAGACCTTGTACCCGCTGCCTCACTCCCCACATGGCCACAACAGCTGGAGCTGAGCCGGTCGGAAGCCAGGAGTCTCTTCCAGGTCTCCCATGCGGGTGCAGGGTCCCAAGGCTTTGGGCCGTTCGGCTGCTTTCCCAGGCCACAAGCAGGGAGCTGGATGGGAAGCGGAGCAGCCAGGGTACGGGTACAAAGTGGCGCCCATCTGGGATCCTGCACGCACCCAAAGGCTTTATTTTTAAGGGATTCTACTCTCACCTCACTCTTCTCATTCATTCTAAACTTGCTATTTGCACTGCAGTTTTCTAGATGTCAAAAACTCTTCTTCCTCCAACTGTCTGTAATGTTCAAAATGATGCTTATCACAGAACACACACGAGAATTTTAAAAAATTATGCCTGTTAACAGTCTGATTTCTCAACACTGCATCAGTATTTAGTCTTCTTTAATTAGCCAAACAATTATATTTCCTTCACACATTTCTTACTGTGTTCTCTAATTTCCTCAAAACCACTGCTTGTATTAGTGTTACTAAGTTCTAAAAACTATATTTGTGACACGTGCAGCTATAAGGAGGAGGAACTGGCATTGTGGCACCATGGGTTAAGCTAGCATTTGCAACTTTGGCATTCCACACTGGATTGCATGTTGGATCCTGACTACTACAAATCTACTTCGAAACCAGCCCCCTGCTCCTGGAAAGGCGGCAGTAAATGGCACCAAGGTTTGGTCTCCTGCCGCCCATGTGAGAGGCCAGAAGTGCCCGGCCTCTGGCTTATCCCTGAACATTTCTCTTTCTTTTTCTGCTTTCTTTTTCTGTGTGTGTGTGTGTGTGTGTGTGTGTGAAAGACCATTCTCACTCCATCACTCTTTCAAATAAATTAAAAATGTTCAAGTGAAGACATAGGAATTCTTTAATTCTCAACTGTAATGTTTGAATGAAAACCAGAAATTCATTACAGGTATAGAAATTTCTGGAAAACGTCTACGGCCATACCACCCTGAACGCGCCTGATCTCGTCTGATCTCGGAAGCTAAGCAGGGTCGGGCCTGATTAGTACTTGGATGGGAGAAATTTCTGGAAAACAAAGTTCAAGTTCCATTAGCATTCATTCAACCATTCAAAAACAAGTCAATCTAAATAAAAATCCAATGGCATAATTTTGATCCATTAGGGAATACTTCTGATGAGGGGAGTAAAGACACAGCAGCTCATGAACTCATCATGGCGCTCTCAGAAGTTGTTTTACCAATCACTCCCACAGAATTTTCAAGACAAAGTTCTAATTTACAATTAGGAATTATTTTCAGAGTCTCTTAAGTCTTGACTTCTTTGAGCCTTTTTTTAAACACATCCCCTCGTTATCATTGGTGACAGTCACAAGAACAGCAGCCCCAGAATAAAATGAAAAGCAGACACGGAAAGGGCACCAAGAGGGTGCATGATATGCAGTAATAAAGTATTTGTGGGCAGAGAATCATGTCTAAAGCAGGAGTGCAACACCAGAACATTCTAAAATAATTGTCTAGGCGTAAAGCAGTCTCTCTCAATCATTTGGGTAAAAGCATAATCATTATTTTATCAGTGACCACTAGCTGCTTGAAGTAGACAGGGGTAGGGTGTGTGAGACTATGGAAGATTCCAGAAGGTGGGTTGTATGTTTTTAATACGACCCTCGCAGCCCACTCCCATTTAATACCCCCATAGCAATGCCAACACTCCTGGCATTTACCCCATTAGCAATCTCTGGGCGAGGAGGAAAGGGAGCAGAAGCTGAATTACCTAAATTTCCAAACAAAATCACCTGAGTTCATTATTACTAACAAGTAAGCCTTCTCCTGTATTCCAGATGTTGTTATTGCTGGTAGTGGTCATTTCACTTGTTTCTAGCATTTACAGGAAAAACCCCAGAAGTTATGACATGTATATATATTTTCATCATGAAAAGGAGAAATTCTGCAGAACTTAACTTCTTACAGGATGTTTTGAAGTTCCTTCCTGTATCAGTTAAAGAAAATCTTACTGATTTGAAAACCACCTTTCCTTAAGCACCTCTGGCCAAACCCAGCCCAGGATAAGTGCTTCAGGCACTCTGAGCGGTGAATAATGTGAATAACGGTGAATAATGTGAATAACGCCCCAGAACGCCCCGAGGCTGCTCGTACTTTCCCCCCAGCACTTTCACTGAGTGAAAACGAGGCAGGCTTGCCACCTGTCTGTCTCAAGGCCTCTAGCAGAGAACATTGTGGAGCCTGGCTCACCTAAGCACAGCTAGGAACCGTGGACTCGCCCTCTGCGGGGTGGGGACCTCCTGGGAGGTCCCTGACTCCTGTCACTTGGCCAATTGAAAAATCACTGAATGAATGAACTCTGTTCTGCTCAACAGGTTAGTTGAGAACTCTTGGCAGGTGACAACGGAACTAGAAAAAATGCAGAATCCATGGAGTTGGAAATCTCAATTCAAAAGGAAAAAGGCAAACCAAGTGAGCTGCTAAATAGTGCATGAAGCAAATGCCCGTGGATGCCTACACTCCGTGTTTCCTTTTGACACGGGCTGCCTGGGCCGGTTCAACGACGCCCAAGTCACCCCAAGTCATTTCTCATCAAATCACCCTCTGTAAGGATTAGTAATTAACCTCCCCAACATCACAGACTGCCCACACGAGTCACACAGGGTTTTAAAAAAAATAAGGCAGCACAATCATTTAAATACACTACCTGAAAGCGTAACGATTCCCCTGGGTTGAGGCTGAAATCGCAAGTATTTGTTACAAAAGTCAGCAGATTCAAGGGCCAAAAACAAAACGTTGCCCAAAAAGTAGCCCGCCGTCTGGCCCACGGAATTGCACGTGGAAGCATAGCCCACGTTCTCCCGGGATAACATCGTTAGCGCCCAGCCGTCCACAGCGATGTCCTGCGTGGCGGCCAGAAACTCGAACAAGAAGAACGCGACCGTGAGAGCAACCACGTCGGGCGTCCTGCCGTCCGCACTGCCGAGCAAACGGTCCACCTGGGTGGACAAGTAGATCATGAAGAAGCCTAGTACGTATTGGGTAGGGACAAGCCAGGATTTGCGACGACCGAAGTTCTTAAGGTAGACCGCGTCAACCAACGGGGCCCAGAGCAATTTGAGACTGAAGGGCCAGAAGACGAAACTGAAGAAAGCTTGGTCCGTATAGCTAACGTTTTTGCTCTGCAAAATGAGTGGTATGCTTCCCGCCAGCCCCAACGGGATGCCCTGGAGCACGTAAAGGAAGACCAGGAGCAAAATGCTGCTCAATTCGGCCTGGCAACTCCGCGGGGCTTTGGAGGGGTCAGCCACGCCGGCCTCACCGAGCAGGGCCTCTCGGTCCCCCTCGCCGCCCACCGAGTCCGGGGGGCTGTCATCCCAGCCGCCCGGCGGCAGAGGACCGCTCTTGAGATCCAGAGAGTGATTGAAAGTGCCCGGCCGCCGCTGCCGGCTGCTGTCCTTGTGGGAGACGGTGGGTGACATGTCGGAGACAATGCAGAGCCCCGTCCGTGGCGGGCCGGGGCTGAGCGTTTTGGATCCGTTCTAGTCCCGGGTCCGAGGAAGTGGCTCTGGACCGGGGATTCGGGAATGCGCCGCACGACAAGGCACGTCTTCCCGAGGCTCAGGGCGCTGCCACCGGCGGCCGGTTCCCCGGCTGGCGGCCCAGGCGCTGCCCGGCTCGTCGCCCGCTGTGGCGGCGTCAAGCAGCCGGGCTCGGAGCGACCGGGACGGCCTCCCAGCGCCGGCGGGGCCCCGCGGCCCGTCGCTCTCAGCCCCCGTCTCGCCCTCGCCGCTCCTCAGGCGGCGTAGAGCACTTTCTCCACACGAGTCCACAGATACCAGATAACTTCCTGCCTCGCGCTTCAGGAAGTGCTCCCTTCCCCGCCTCCAGAGCCAGCCAATCAGAACACGCCGGCGCGGCCGCGTTCGGGAACGACGCCGGGTGGGATCCCGCGGCCGCGGTCTCCGGGGAGGGTTCGCGCCTGCGTGCTGCGCGGCCGGGGGCGGGGCGCGAGGCGCGGCTCTGTGAGCGCATGCGGACGAGTGGGGCGCGTGGGGCTCGGCCATTGGGCTCGCGGCCGCACGTGACCGCGCCGGGCAGCGGTGGTGAGGCGTGAGGCCGTTTACCCTCCGCTGCCCGAAGGAAGGACGCAGGACAGTGGCCAGTGGTCGTGTGCTGCTGCTGCTGCTGCTGCTGCTGCTTTCGAGAGCCAGGCAGAAACGGACAGCAGGATGATTGAGATTTGCGAAGTTTCCGTATCAGGAGACAAGGTCATTGTGTGTCCCCCAAAGGGTAGAAAATAACCTGGCTGCTTGGAGGAGTGTGTGCCTTCGGTACCCCACACACTCCTATTTATGGGATGGAAGAAACCGCTTCCCAGGTGTTGGGATTCTCTGCGGGTCTTCTTTCCCCGCGGGGTGTTAGCGTTGGTGTTAAGGTTTAGGTGGATGGGCTGAATTCCAGGACTTGCCACATCCCTCTTTTTGTGCTGCTGCGTTTGAGAGGGCTGCTGAGCCACCACTCTGCTGGTGTCATACATACATACATTTTTAAGTAACTCCTTCCTTAGGGTTCGTGGCAAATTGTTGCAATCCCTTAGAGCTGCAGACGTTGAAAAACCAGATGTAGTATTTCAGTGACGCCGTAAGAGATGGGGTTTCCAAGAGCCTTATTGAGTCCCACGTTATGAGGTAGTTATCACACATCACGACCAACGTTCGAGTAGTATTGGTAATGTTTCCCTCCACTTTAAAAGGTACTTTAGAACTTATATTTATGATGGTCATTTCATGCAAAGGCTGGCCTTACATTTTTTTTAAGAAAGGATTTATTTTGGGGTCCAGTGTGGTAGCTTATTGGCTGAAGTCCTTGCCTTGCATACACTGCAATCCCATGGGGGCACCAGTTCATATCCTCTCTCCTTCTCTCTGTAAATCTGACTTTCCAATAAAAATATTGGGAGACAAAGAAAGACAGATATCCATTAGCTGATTCACTCCCCAAGTGGCTGCAGTGGCCAGAGCTGAGCCAATCCAAAACCAGGAACCAGGTGCTCCTTCCAGATCTCGCTTGTGGGTGCAGGGTCCCAAAGCTTTGGGCCATCCTTTCTTGCCTTCCCAGGCCACAAGCAGGGAGCTGGAAGGGAAGTGGAGCAGCTGGTACACAAACCTGTACCTGTGTAGGCAGAGCCAGTTGAGCCATCACTCCAGACCCTGGCTTCACGTTTATGCATTTGCTTAGGCAGCTGATTCCTTCAACCACCTACCTGTTTTCCTTGGTATTTTCCTGGGAGGCTGGCATTTTTCGGAAAGCAACAGACAATAGTGACTGCAAAGCCCTCTAATATTTGTTAAGGAGTAAACTATTATTAAGGAAAAAGCAGAGACAAATTAAGATGTGCCCAAACAAAGCCTTGTTTACCTGAAAGGTGAAGTGAGGAGGTGAGGGACTTCATCTGCTTGTTTGCTACTGGGATAGCCGCAGTGAGAGGGGCGGTGACCGGCCAGGGATGTGTGGGGGGGTGGGCATCCCAAGTGGGGACCGGAAGGCTTGCCCCCATTATAGTGCCTGCTTCTGAGGGTTGTGAGACTTGAAAGAAGGAACTCATACTGTAGTCATTAGGGTTTTTTTCCCCCCAAGGATGAACATGTTCATGAGTTTGTACTTTGTCTATTTGATCTTTTTCTTAAGTCTTCATTTGGATTTAATTATACGTTCATTGAAGTCACAAATGTAACAGTCCTATGTACCCTTCACCATGACCCCTCCAATACTTAACATCTTACATAACTAAAAAATATCAAAACCAGGAAATTGGCATCTGTAAAATATTATGTGCTAGACTATGGGTCTTACTCAGATTTCATTAATCTTTCTTTTGTAAATTAATTTTGTTTGGAAAGGCAGATTTACAGAGAGAAGGAGAGACAGAGCAACCTTCTGTCTGCTTGTTCACTCCCCAAGTGACTGCAATGGCCAGAGCTGAGTTGATCCAAAGCCAGGAGCCAGGAGCTTCTTTCATTTCTCCCACATGAGTGCAGGGTCCCAAGACTTGGGTCATGCTCGACTGCATCCCCAGGCCACAGAGAGCCTGATGAGAAGTGGGTAGCCAGGACAAGAAATGATGCCCGTGTGAGATCCCAGCATATGCGAAGTGAGGATTTATCCACAAGGCTCCCACACCGGGCCAAATTACATCAGTCCTGACGTGCATGACTGCCTGTGTGTGCCCTTTGTGCCATCCTTTTGTTGTGCTGGCTCTCTCTAGAACCACACATGTAGTTGAGCCAGGCCACATTGCTCCTGTTGTTTCCGAGGCAATCAGTAATCAGTAATCATGTCAGGAGTGCTACAGAAACGGAATCAGGATTATGTGAGCATTAGGATCAGCTGCTCTCACCTAGCCGAATGTTACTGACATCCTCTTATGGTGTTAGTATGTCAATATCAACAGATGCCACTGTGGACTAGTATTGCATGATACAGATGTTGCAACAGTGTTTTAAATAGGGACGATTTTCTTCCAGATACTAATATTTCCTTTGCCTGAGAGTGAGTGCCCTTTGTTGATTGAATTATTTTCCTGGCAAACGTTGAATCTCTCAGCTCATGATTGTCTGGATCCAAACAACAGGAAAAGTTACCAGAGCCCAAAATTGGGAAACATTTAAGCTATCAGTTCAATTCGATGTGTGTGCACTCTTGAGCTGATAAGGGAGAAAATTACCATAGGGAACAAACACTAATGATGCATTCAAATGCTTTAACTCTATGACTAGGAACTTGTGGCCTCCAGACCAGGGAAGAATAACCCTGAACTCAGTTGAGATTACTAAAAATCCTCAGTTTTTAAAAAGAGCACTATTGCCTTGTTTTCATCAGGTCGGAACACTTCCGCCCAAAGGTGGGAGAGCAGAACCACCTGGCACGACCCTGAGAGCAAGGATTTTTCTGAGTCCAAGGACAGGGACAGCACCTCTGCCCCAGCAGTCCCTAAAGGCTCGACTTCTGTCCAGTGGGTTTTGAAGACAAAAGATGAAGCCAAAGAGGGTTATTTTTTCTTCCTTTCTTTTTTAAAAATATTGTTTGCATAGTTGAGAGATGCATGCCCATATGTGCCTCTGATAAGGGTGGGAGGATCAGGTAGAGGAAGATGGGTGGGACAAATGTTCTGGTTTTCTGTTGTTTTTCCTCCTGTGTCTGTGAGGAAGGAGGAGGAGGGAGCTGCTCCTTACTGTCCTGCTGCTTCCGCACCCAGGGATGGGGGATGGGCATTTGATGATGCCTCAGAGATCCTGATGCTTGGAACAGTTTTCCAAGAGTGTTACTTGAGTGGTTTTGATAGTTCTGAGAAATTGTTGGTTTCACTGTTTCAGATTCGGAAAAATCTTTCCAGGGTCTGTTGGTTGACAAAGTCCACCTTAGTGCATCCACAGACCCAGGAACATGCTACAAAGGTTGGCCGGGAGAGTTGTCCAACCTGCTCTGCTTGCCGTCCTCTGACAAGGCCGTTGATGGTCCCCTGCTGGCCTAGATGAGCTGGCTGTCGTGTCCCCCCATGTGCACCTGTGCATGCTGTCCACTGAGCAGGCATCAGCAACTGAGGAGATCAAAGGGGGTTATTCATGTAGTTTTCCAAATGTTATGGACTTACCTGGGACCTTTCTCCCCTTCTTTCCTGTTTCTCCATATCAGATTGGGAACATCTCCTATTCCTGTTTCAAGATTCTTCTTGGAAGCATGGAACAGGTTTCGTGGTTCATAACTGGAGAGGAATTTATATCAGGGTGATTCATACCTTGCATCTTACCCTTATCTGATTTAGATGAGACTTTAGATTTATATGTTTAAAGTTGATGCAGCATAAGACTTGGACCCTTAGGGGATGGAATGAATTTATTTCACATATGAGAAGGACACGACTTGGCAGGGGTTGGGGCAGGAAACAATAGCCTGAATGTTTGTGTGGGAATTCCTATGCTGAAACCAGTGCCGTGGTGGCATTGAGAAACCTGCAACAAGCAGACTGAAAGACTGAGCGCGCACACGTAGTGTGCCTCAGAGGAGCGGGGGCTGGGGGTTCCAGGCTCAGAGGCACTGGAGCGAAGACCCCCTGCAGCACCTCACAGAGGTCAGGTACCATCAGCAGCATTTGAGGAAGAACACGGAGCAATAGGTTTCTACACGGTGTTTGTTTCCCACAGAGCTTAACGTGCCATCTGATTAGGACAAGGCTGTTTACAGTTCTCCTTTGCACATCCTGTAACCATCTACCTAAAGCCGTAGGTGCCAGGCTAAGTCTAACTCTGTATCTTGACTCCACGGGTCAAACAACTTCGTAGTTGTAATTTTCCATAGAGACAAACGCTCTCAATGCTGGCATGCGCTATGTCTCACTTTGTCTGAACTGTGGCCTACACACGTGTATCGATTGTCCCCTTTGGAGTTAGCTTCTCAGACACCAGCCCCAAGTGTAGTGGCCAACTCGGGGTCCTCCTAGGGGAGCTGCAGCTGCTGCAGAGGTCTGCAGAAGCCGTAAGAAATGACCCCGTCGGGCCCAGCAGCGTGGCCTAGTGGCTAAAGTCCTAGCCTTGAATGTGCTGGGATCCCATATGGGCGCCGGTTGGTCAGTTCATATCAAAGAGCGGGAAGAGGTTGCATTAAATTTGGATGTGGGTTATGATACAATAATGATTTAGTTAAGATGTAGCTGACAATGTGATGTAATGCCAAATATTGTACACAGTAAACCAATCACACAGATATAAACTCAGAGCTTTCTAGAGAATCCGTAAGTAACTGAATTTTTTTTTTCATGAGCTTTCTGAAGATGCCAAGAACATTTCAAAAAAAAAAAAATTAAGAAAAAATTCTGGGGCCCAGTGCCGTAGCCTACTGGCTAAAGTCCTCGCTTTACTGGTTCTGGGATCCCTTATGGGTGTCAGTTCCCTTCCTGGCTGTTCCACTTGCCATGCAACTCCCTGCCTGTGGCCTGGGAAAGCAGTCAAGGATGGCCTAAAGCCTTGGGACCCTGCACTTATGGGGGAGACCTGAAAGAGGCTCCTGGCTCCTGGCTTAGGATCAGCTTGACTCTGTTGCAGCCGCTTGAGGAGTGAACCAGCCGATAGAAGATCTCTCTGTCTCTCCTTCTCTCTGTAAATCTGACTTTGCAATAAAAGTAAATAAATCTTAAAAAAAGTTTGTTTCCATCAGTGTTTTAAAGTACCCTTGTATACATTAAACTGTAGATTTTCAAGCTAGAATACTACAGTTAACGGAAATTGAGGCGCTCTGCTCCCCAAGTCTGTCTCTGAACTTTCTCTGTAGTCTTTGTTTTTTCTCCTTTGTTTTTTCTCTCCCCACCCCCATGCACTCACTCCTTGCTCATCCTTTCTCTCTGCCCCAAGGCTTTCGGCCATCCCTTCTGCTGGAGTAAGGCTCACTTGCTGTCTAGCATCTCGGGTTTGTGAAGAAAAAAGCCAACATTGGTGAATTGGCCTGGTCTTGCTCGGGCTCCCTCGTTGCAGGGTTTTGAGCGGCTGGGAGCTGATTCTGTCTTGCCTGCCGCAGAACCCAGATCTCCTAGAGCCATCATCTGTTTTTTGAATGCCCTCAACATATCCAACACCACAATTGCTCCCTGCTTGTGGCCTGGGAAAGCAGAAGAGGATGGCCCAAAACCTTGGGACCTGCATCCACATGGAAGACCTGGAGGAAGCTCCTGGCTCCTGGCTTCAGATTGGCTCAGCTCCAGCTGCTGCAGCCACTTGGGGAGTGATGGAAGATGTTTCTGTTTGTATCTCCTCCTCTCTGTTTATCTGACTTTCCAATAAAAATAAATTTTAAAAAAAAGTGAGATACACATTAAGAAAGTTAATCTTAGCATAATATGGTTACATAGCATCATTCTGACTTTTGTCCTTTGTAGGTAACTTTTTTCCCCTTCCATTTGTAAATGTGTAGATTTTTCTTTTCTTGGGGGTTCAGAATTTTCATCAGGATATGTGACACAATGCACATATATGTGTTTCCCTCACCTGATACTTACTACACATTTTCCAACAATGTTCCACGTGTTTATTGGCCTTAAAGGAACTTCCTTTTGTAGTTTCTTTGGTTTTTCTTTTATTTTCTTTTCGTTAGCTAATCATGGAAATCCTATTAAACTTGGGTTTACTGGGGAATATCCCTAAGTCAGCCCAAGGCTAGGATATCTGGCTTAGCAAAAACCCAGAAACCCAGATGGCTAAAGGATGGACAGTAGGAGATATCGCAACGTATGCACAGGCATTTTGCCGAAGAATAAATCCACTGCCAAGTTTATGCTGTCAGCCTCAAGTGTTTTCCTTGACGCTTATAAAAATCAACACCACCATCTAGTGGCTCGTTCCTTTGCTTATATCTGCTTGCGGATTTCTTCACTGGTTTTCCAGGAAGTTTACTGTCTTCTGAATGTCATCTCTGCATTTTCCTAAGAATTTGAAATAGTTTTTGTTGGAGATAGACTCTGATTCATTGAGATATAATTTAAAATCAGTAAAATGTATTCTACTTAGTATATGGATATGTGAAATCTGATAGTTGCAGCGTTGTCTAGCTACCACCACAGTGAAGATATAGTTTTATGATTCCGGATACTTCCCTTGAGGCCCATTTGAAGGCAGTATATCCACTCACCTCCCAGATCGCTGTGTTTTATCTCCCTGTGACTTTATCACAAACGATGATCATCTTTTTTAAAACTTATTTTATTTTTATTTTAAAATCAGATATATAGAGAGGAGGAGAAACAGAGAGAAAGATCTTTCATCTGATGATTCACTCCCCAAGCGGCTGCAATGGCAAGAGCTGAGCCAAGCCGAAGCCAGGAGCCAATAGCCTCTTCCAGGTCTCCAATGCAGGTGCAGGGTCCCAAAGCTTTGGGCCGTCCTTGACTGCTTTCCCAGGAACAAAAAGGAGATAGATTGAAAGTGGGGTTGCTGGGTTCAGAACCAGCACCCATATGGCACCCCAGTGCGTTTAAGGCGAGCGAGGACTTTAGCCAGTAGGCTACTGTGCTGGGTCCGTGATAATCCTCTTTAACTTTAGAGACTGTGTTCCAAGACCTTCTGTGGATGCCTGATACTGTGGATAGTACCAAAACCTATATATCGCACATTATTTTCTAAATATATAAACCTTTGATGAAATTTTATCATAAATCCGGAATAGTAAGAAGTAACAGCAGGTGAAACTACTACTGGTAACCCTGCTGTTCTATATTAGAGAGCTGGTTTAAGTATTGGGTACTCCGCATCTATCTGCTTGCTAATGTGTCTGACAGTTGGAAATGGCCTAAGCACTTGGGGCCCTGCACCCTGACTAGGCTGGAGATCCTGGCTCCTGGGCTGGCTTAGCCTGGACTTGCCTGTTAGAGGCATTTGGGGAGTGAACCACCTTTCTCCCTATCTTGCTGATGCTCTTTCAAGGAAATAAATCTTTAAAAAAGGAGTTAATAACATTAATAATAGAATAGAGCAATTATAACTGTATGTTATTATGTGAAATTGGCCTCTCTTGAAAGATCAAGACAAATAATAGTATTTCAGACTTCAGTTGATTAATGGTAATAGGACAATGGGATGCAAAATTGAGAATAAGGACATACTGCAAGTGGAGTAAGGACATACTTTTGTGTTGTGGCTTCTTTCAGTCAACATAATGCATTGAGATTCATCCATGTAATGTATTGGTCACTTGCCTTTTTGTTTTCTGAGTAATATTCTTTCCTGTGGTTACATTATCTATTAGCTACTTAACACCTGAAGGATATTTTTATTGTTTGTAGCTTAAGGAAGTTATGAATAAAATCAGTATAAGCATTTGCATAAAGCTTTTAATATAAACAGTTTTTAATCTCTCGTGAACAAATGCTTAGAAGTAGAAAAAAAGTGAATATAGTATTTTTCATCCCCACCAGCAACGTTTTCCTCTTCCTATGCTGTCGTGCTTGATTTTTCATTATTGCTGTATTTTACTTTTTAGTTTTTGTCCTAGGGTTTCACAAAACAGGGAAATGGTGTCCAAGTATTTTAGTACCTTATATTTCTCTATTGCCTAATGGTAATCAATCTAATTGTCTCTATCAGAGTTTCATATTATTTGTTCTATGTACCTTGTAGATTAGCATATTTCTTCTTTGTTGTAAAAATTTTCCTATCTCTTGTTATGGTCCAGCGTGCATAGTTGTTTTTTTTTTTTAAGATTTTTAAATTTGTTTTTTTTGAAAGTCAGATAGGCAGAAGAGGACATAGAAGCAGCTCTTCTGCTGATTCGCTGCCCAGGTGGCCGCAAAGGTTGATGCTGAACTGATCCGAAGCCAGGAGCCAGGTGTTTCTTCCGGGTCTCCCACGTGGGTACAGGGTCCCACAGCTTTGGGTCATCCTCAACTGCTTTCCCAGGCCACAGGCAGGGAGCTGGATGGGAAGCTGGACAACTGGGACGCAAACTGGCACCCATATAGGATCCCAGCGCATGCAAAGCGAGGACTTTAGCCACTAGGCTACCATACTGGGACAATGTGTATAGTTTTAAAAGTGAGGAGAGTTCATACTACCTTACCAAAGCATTTGACCACCACATATTGGGTACTGTTAATGTTTCGGTAATAGATCATATTCTGAAAATTATTAACATTCTATAGAGCATGTTATAATTTACAAATTGTATCCATGATACTAGATGTCTGCAGAGGACATCTAGTACCATAGCAGAGAATCGAGGACAGAATAAATTGGACAACGCTCCCAGCCAAGTACCTGGGCAAGTGGAAACTCTAAGGTGAACAATGTCAGCTGGTGGACCTTGCAAGAATTTCCTCATCCTTGGTTCAATGAAATCAACAGCATTTCAGAGCTATCAAAAATCACTTGAGCAGAACCCTCAGGGCATGCTCCACATTTTGGACCATACGATGACTTTGGGTAGCTGTCCCCTTATCCCCGGGTACTGATGCTGTTAGGATGCTGGGTCCAGCTTCTCCCCTTCTTGCCCCCTTCTCCCAGATGCAAGAAGAAAAAGAAAATTGGGAACAAATAATCTCATCCACGTTCCCCCAGAGCTTGATCCTTCGCATTCTAATCAGTGGTCCATATGGGCATGCATCCTTCTCAACTATGTAAACATCATCAAAAAAAATGTTTTTAAAGCTCATCGGTATGTTATATAATTCAATATAAGATTACTGACAACCAAAATCTTCTGATATATATGTTGTAAGTAGTTACGGGTTAGAGAGAACTATCAGAAAGGTAATGGACATACAGACCAAAGCAGGTGTGAGTTGGCCAAGAGGTGGAGAAAAGTTGAAGAAAGGGATAATAAACATGTAAGAGGGAGACTGGGGAGTGGAGAAAGGAAGGGCATTTAATAACTAAGTAAACTTTGTTCCACCCTGAATTTCTCTTGCATATCTGCACCATGTACTTTCTTATTGTTAATTTATTTTAAAAATGTCTTTTAAAAGATTTATTTGTTCAAAAACAGAGTGACACAGAGAGAGAGATTTTCAATTCTTTGGTTCACTAGATAAATGCCCACAAGAGTTATGGCAGCAGTCAGAGCAGGCCAGACCAAAGCCAGCAGCCTAGAATTCAATTCGTCTCCCATCTGTGTAGCATGAACCCATGAACTTGAGCTGTCACCTGCCACCTTCCAGGATACACATTGGTGGGAAGCTTAATTGGAAGTGGAGGCAGGACTCAAATGGCCGGGAGCAGCCAGAGCTAAACCAGTCCCAAGCTAGGAGCCAGGAACTTCTTCCAGGTCTCCCAGAGGGGTGCAGGAGCCCAAGAACTTGAACAATCTTCCCTGCTTTCCCAGACCTTACAGGGAGCTGGATTGGAAATGCAGCCAGGAATGTAAACAGTGCCCATATATGATACTGACACTACAGGAAGAGGATTAGACTGAGAAGCCACCATGCTCACCCTGAGAAACATTTTTAAAGTTTACTGTGATTTCTGAGACTTGCATCATATTTCTTCTTGTTCCTCGTTTTCTTCTAGGACCATCTCCTGGAATCTCATCATTCTTGTGATTCATGCAATGAACATGATGCAGAGAAGCAAACCTGTGTAACTTCCAAGGTGAGATAGGCAGAGGCTGTGCAGTTTCTCCCTGGCATCCCCACCCATAGACCTGAGCTGGAAAATAGAAAATGTATTTGTCCTGGAGAAGCTGTGTTATACCATGTTGAGTGGAAGTGGCCAAAGTGGCCTGCTTTAATCCCTGGTCTGGGTGTATGATTGAAGTGAGAAAACCTTTAGATGATTCCAACTCCCAGGCGTGGAGCCAGTTCACCTGAGGCTTTATAGAGTTGGACTTTGAGCTGTGTCATCCCACACAGTAGGTCAGAAAACAGCAGTTCCTGTTGAAGCCTGTCCAAATGGCTGCTAAATAAGTAGCCCTGTTGTTTTAAGTAGATTATATAGAGTAATTACATACCAGTTATTCTGTGGAATATGCTTCCATTTGAATTATCTGATGTGTATTTACTCATGATTAGAATCAGGTTACCCATTTTAGGCAGAATACCACTGAGGTTGCCGTGTGCTCAGCTAACTGCATCCATCAGGAGATGCTTAATGTCTGTTTATTCCGCAACTGGTTGTTTTAACTTTGATCAAGTGAGGAAGGTGTTATGTTCAGGTGTCTCTGCTATGAGACACTTTTTGTCCCTTGCATAATGAATGGTTGTTTTGTAGAAAGATACTTTGAGATAATGTTCCTCCCCCAGCTTTCACTCATGAATTTTATACCACTCATTGATGTTTCTTGCTTGACTTTTTGTGGTGGGAGCAAAATGATGATTCTCTGATTCAGTTATTCCATCTACGTTTAATAATTAACATTCCATTATAATGAAGAGCTTTCTTGTCTCTCTTAATCATTCATTTACTTATAGCAGTGTAGACTGGTGAATTGTTTCTCTGATTATAATGTAGACTATCACTTTTGTTAGAAGATTTATTTATTTGTTGAAATGTCAGTTACAGAGAGAAAGGAGACAGATTTCCATCTACTTGTTTACTCCCCAAGAGGTCTCAACGGCTCAGGCTGGGAAATCCAGACAACGTTCCTGGCTCCTGGCCATTGCAGGCATGAAATATCTCTTTTTTTCTGCCTCTTCTTCTCTCCCTGTAACTCTGATTTTCAAATAAATAAATAAATCCTTAAGAAATAAACAAAAAATAGTAACTCCTGACTGACTGGAGACAAAAGAGGCGAGCCCTTCCATAGTATCAGGTGATGGGTCTTTTTTTACACAATAAATTTATTTTAATTTTTAGTGATATTTACATAGTTGGGAAGGATATATGCCCATTTGGACCACTGATTAGGGTGGGAAGGATCAAAGATTAGGGGAAAGTGGTTCAGACAATTACTTCCAATTTTTTTTTCTTCATGTACCTGGGAGAAGGGGGAAGAGAAAGAGAGAGAGCTGCTCCCAGCATCCTAACCACATCAGTGCCCAAAGACAGGGCATGGCCACCCGATGTCATTCTGGGATCCCTGATGTGGAGCATATTCTGAGGATAAGTGGTTTCAATCGTTCTGATATGTTGTTGATTTTGTTGCTCCTAAATTGAGGTAATCCTTCCAACGTCCCCTGGCTGAATTGGTCTACCCTAGAGTCTGCACTTGCCTGATGCTTGCTGTCAATGCATGACTGGGGTAGTTGTCCAATTTGTTCTGCCCTGTACTCTCTGCCATTGTACTAAATATCCTCTGCAGGCCTCAGTGAACTGTCATGCCCCCATGTACATCTGGGCATGGCATCCACTGCCCAGGCTTCAACAACCGAGGAGTCCCAGTTCTGACACTTGTACTCTATGGTCAGACCACAACTCCTGTGATTTTCTGTGGTTGGAGTTTAAGTCCAGAGGTCCAGTTGGGAGAATTCCCAAGTACACCTCACCTGAGATGACCCAACCTTGACTCATGTGTATGACAGCCAGTGCAAGGTCCATCCCAGGCCATCACTCACATCTCAGCTGATTGTCCTAAGAGGTTCCAGGTTATACCGATAAACTGCTGTGCTTTGAATGTGTCTCTCCAGAGCTGATACGTTGGAATTTAACCTCATTGTGAGGTATTAAGAGGGAAAACATTGGTGTAGCTATGGTCGTTAGAGGTGGCCTTTGGGAGATTATTGGGATTAGTTGATGGCATCAGGTAAACTCCCATGGCTAAACACTGATGGCTTTAGAAGAGGGACAGAGGCCAAACGAGACACATAGGAACACCCCTTGTCTTTTGCCATGTGGTGCCCTGTGCTGCCCTAGACTGTGCCAGTAAAAGTATGTCACCAGTTGCAAGGCCCTAAACTTTCATACCTGTGAGCCAAATCAGCCTGTTTTTTTTTATAGAAGATTACCCAGCCTAATATATAAATTTAACCATATAAATAGTTACTTTAAATGTTAATAGTCTAAATCCTCCCCTTGAAAGAAATGAATATATTCCACCATAAAAGAGCAAGATCCAAGTATATATGACTACAACAAACATTTTAAACATGAAGTCAAGGTGTCTACACTATGGCATAGTCATTTAAACTTCCACCTGCAGCACTGGCATCCGACTGCTGATCTAACTGCCTGCTAATGCAACTGGGAAAGCAACGGGAGATGGTTTTCCTGGGCTCCTGCGGCTCACCTGGGAGATCTACAAGAAGTTCCTGGCTTGAGTCTGCCCAGTGCCAGTCCCAGTGTTTTGGCCATTTGGGGAATGTGTGTCTCTTATAACTGTGCTTTTCAAATAAATCGCCTGGGAAAGCAGTTGAGCACAGCACAAAGCCTTGGGACTCTGCACCCACATGAGAGACCGGGAAGAAGTTTCTGGTTCCTGGCTTTGGGTTGGCGTGGCTCTAGCCATTGTGGCCACTTGAGGAGTGGACCAGCAGATGGTTCTTCTCTCTGTCTCTCCTCCTCTCTGTAAATCTGACTTATAACTAACTAACTAACTAACTAACTAAACAAATAAATAAATAAGTAAATCTTTAAAAAAGGTCACCAACAGGTTGAAAGTATGAAAAAGATATACTGTTTCAACACTAGTGAAGAAAGTAGACATGGCTATTTTAATCTTGAACAGATTAGATATCAGAGAAAATAATAGTAGTACCAAGGATAAAGAACATCATCTCATAATGATAAAGCGATCAATTCATTCCATATTTGTGTAATTTAATTATAAAGTGAGTGATCAAGAAAGTTGTAATCCCTGTATTTTTATTTTGAAAATTTAAAAAATTGTTAATGACAAATAATTGTACATATTTGTAGAGTCCAGTGCAATAGTTCTTTCTGTTTGAAAGATTTGACTTTGCTTATTTGAAAGAGCAAGAGTGAGCGAGCGAGAGAGACAGAGAGAGAAAGAGAAGCTGCTTCATTTCCCACATAGTACCAGTAGCCCAGGGCTGGGCCAGGCCAGGATGAGCAGCCTGACTCTGGGCCAAGTCTCCCAAGTGGGTACAGAGCCCCAAATACTAGCAGCAATCTCTTGCCACTTTTACAGATATGCTAGTAGGGAGCTGGATCAGATGTGGAACAGCTAAGGTATAAATTGGCACTATATGAAATGCTAGCATTGTAGGCAATAGTTTAGCCTACTATGTCACAGTAAGGCCCCCTGATATTTCAGAACATGTATTCAACACATAATGACCATATTAGGGTGACTAACAAATTCCATCACTTAAGACATTTACTTCCTATGTGGGACAGTTTTAAGCATTTTTGACCCTAGTAACAGAGCTTCAAAGTGCATGAAACAAAATTGATATGATTATAAGACAAATCACAATTCTATTTGGAGATATTAATACTTCCTCTCTTGATAATTGGTTGAACAGGTCAATAGAAAATAAGAATGGGGGCTCAGCTCAATGGCTAAATCCTCACCTTGCAAGCCCTGGGATCCCGTATGGGTGCCAGTTAATGTCCTGGCTGCTTCACTGCCTGTCCAGCTCCCTGCTTGTGGTCTGAGAAAGCAGTAGAGAATAGCCCAAAACCAATGGGACTCTGCATCCATGTGGGAGACCAAGAAGAAGCTTCCAGTTCCTGGTTCCTGACTTCGGATCAGCTCAGCTATTGCTGTTGTGGCCATTTGGGGACTGAATTAGCAGATGGAAGATCTTTCCCTCTCTGTCCTTCCTCCTGTCTATAAGTATGCCTTTCCAATAAAAATAAACAAACAGGGAGCTGGATGGGAAATGAAACAGCCAGGAGAGAAACAGGTGCCCTTGTGGGAAACCAGTACTTGAAACTGGAGGATCAGCAGTTGAGCGATCGTACCAGTATCACTTGGTGGTCAATTTATAGGGGTAAATACTTACATTAGAAGAAAGATCGCAAATTGGTGGTCTCAGATTCCAAGTTCAAACCCTATAGTAAGGATTTGTGTTGTGGTGCAGTTGCACTAGCTGACACTGTAAGGCCAGCACTCCATAACTGAGCCCCGGGCTGATGGCTGCTCGCTTCTGATCTGGCTCCCTGCTGATGGCCTGGAAAGGCAAAGGAGGATGGTCAAAGTAGTTTTGGCTCCTGACATCCACATCTGAGACCTGGATGAAGCCCCTAGCTCCTGGATTAGACCTGCTCAAGAACTGGCTGTTGTGGCTATTTGGGGTGTGAAAAATATTCTGCTTCTCCCTCTCAGTACTTTTTCAAATAACTAAAATAAAATTTTACAAAAACTATGATAAAAAGAGCTAATTAGACATAAGGAAGAAAGGAAATATGATCAGTGTGAAAATTAATAAGAAAGCAGAAAAACAAATGAAGCAAGAACTAGTTCTATAAGAACTTGAATAAAATTGGTAAACCTCTAGCTGATGAGGAAGCACAGGAGGAAACACGCATTACCCATATTAGGAATGGTTCTAGACATAGAAGGATGATGAAGACTATTATAAACAAATTTAGTGTCCATGAATTTGACAACATTTCTTAAAAGACAAATTGTCAAAGTACATGCAAGGAATGTAGATAACATGAGAATCCCTGTATCTGCTTTTAAAAATGTAATTTACAATCAAACATTTTCCTGGAAAAAAAACCTCCAAGTCCAGTGGGTCTCATTG